CTCCTCCTCCTCCTCCTCCTCCTCCTCCCCCCTTCCTCCTCCTCGTCCTCCGTGTTCCCAGATCCCAATCTACTTCAAGCGCCTTCCTACTTCAAGAATCGATATGTTTCTGCTGTGCTCTGTGTTACCTTTTGGGAGGGCCAGAGCCCAATCTGCTTCTCTCCGCCTGCCTGCTTCATGTTTGCACCTGAGTGTTTCTTCCGACCTGCGTGTACTCTTTCTGACGCTAGGCAAAAAGGGTGCAACCACTCATGGGCGACCTGTTTACGGACGGCAGCGTCGTGGACCCGAGCCTGGGCTGTGCACGCGGCGGCTGGGCGGTGGTCGTCGTGGGGCAGGGCGCCGAGGCCGTCGGCCTCTTCGGCCCGCTGCCCTGGCCCTGGCCGCAGCTGTCGGGCGCCGCGGAGCTCGCCGCGAGGCAACAGCGGCAGGCCGCGGCCGACACGCTGGGCCGAAGCGAGCGCCGCTGGGCAAGAGACGAAGGCCCGCACGGTGAGGGGGGGCACGACGCCTGCGCCCGCGCGGTCGTCTGCGGAGGCGGCTCTGGTCTGCATCTGACAGCCCCCACACGAAAGCATGAGAAGGAGCACGGGGCAGTGGGACCTCCTCCTCCTCCTCCTGCTGCCTTCCCCCCCTTCCTCCTTCCTCCTCGTCCTTGCCTTCTCGCGCCCTGGCACACAGCACATAGCTCCGTGCCTCCTCCCTCCTTCCTCCTTCCTCGTCCTTGTGCATAACTCCTCCCTGTCGCGCCCCCCCAGACGTGTCGGTAGGGCGGGCCCGGGCGTTTCGCCCGAGACTTCCCCACCGTGTGTGCGTGTGTGCGTGTGCGTGTGTGTGTGTGTGTGTGTGTGTGTGTGTGTGTGTGTGTGTGTGCGTGCTTGTGTGTGTGTGTGTGTGCGTGCGTGTGTGTGTGTGTGCGTGTGTGTGTGTGTGTGTGTGTGAGAGAGCCTGCAGCTTGCGGCGCGCAGCAGGTCGAAGGACGGAGAGGGGGCCGCTCTCAACGTGTGGTTTCGGGCTCCAGCGCCGCGAACATTCGATGCATTAAAGAGGACGGTTCCTTTGCACTCTGTGGTTCTCGCCTTGGCGTCGGCGTCACCCCGACATACTTATACTATATGTGCGTCGCCCCCCGGGGGCGATGCGCGCACCGAGGAATCTTATAGTATATGCGTTGTGGCGGGCGCATTCTGGCCACACCGCTCGGGAAACGATATACTACAAAATGGGTATACTATATGTTCGGGTCGGACGCGCGCGTCCAAGGACTACATATAGTACTAGTACGTCTTTGTGCATCCCATAGCGTGGCGCGCGTTCATTCGTTCGACGAGCGTGCAACAACTTCAGGGATGTGGAGGGCGGCTCCTTTGCGGAGCGCGGCTCTCGCTTCAGCGCCGTGCACACTCATCGTAAGCGCTTGCGGCAGCTTCGGGGGCGGAGGGCGGTTCCCGTTCGCCGTGTGGCTCTCGCGTCGGCGCCGCGCACACTCGTTTTATATGTTTTGCAGCAGTTTTATGCGACGGAGGGCGAGCCTGTTCAAACGTTGGCTCTGTTGTTGAAATGTTGGTTCTCCTTTTAGCATTGCGTCCTCAATGGAGAAGGAGCATGTTGCCAAATAGTTCCCATATGTTTAAGACCTGTGTTAAACATGTTTAAGCACGTAAAAAACATGTCTAACACATGTTTATAACAGGTTTCTTACACATAAAACCATGCTAAGTTCAATGATAGGACTGTTAGGGTGTCCGTTGTCGTGGCATCCACAATTTTAGCGCCGCGCGCGTTCGTTTCAAAAGTTTGGGACGTGTTCAAGGGCTCGTGGAGCAGATGTCCGCCGACTGGTTTCTGGCAGTATTCAGGACTGCCAGGACATAGCAGTAACGTTGATTCGTGGTGTTGACGTCCCAGAGCTTGTGTTCTAGCACGATTTAGGGCCGCCAGGGCGCAACAGTCACGCCGATCTGCGGCGTTGCAGTCCCAGTAATTACGTTTTGGTACGACCGAGGATTCTCGGACGGTTGTCTTCCAATGGGCCATTTCCGGCAACGAAGAGAAAGAAATATGGAATTTGGGGATGAAGGTTAATTGCAGCATCGTTGATTCATTTGGGGTTTACGCTGGTCCCCCTCGACTCCTTCCTCCCTCCCTCGCTCCTCCTCCTCCGCCTCCTCCTCCTCCTCCGTCTCCTCCTCCTCGTCATCCTCCTCCTCCTCCTCCTCCTCCTCCTCCTCCTCCCCCTCGTCGCCGCCGCCCCCCCCCGTCCCAGAGCCAGGTACTTCCTGGAGAGGGCCGTCCGCGGGGCAGGACCCGCCCCGCCCGTCGTCCCCGTGGGTGGGGGATTGGGGGGGGGGGGGAGCGAGGGCCTCCTTCTCCTCTCGGCAGCGCATCCGGGGGGTCGCCAAACATGTGGACATGTGAGGAGTAGGAGGATGGAGGAGGAGGAGGAGAGGAGGAGAGGAGGAGGGAGGAAAGGAGGAGAGGAGGAAGGAGGGGAGGGGGAGGAGGCTGCGGAGGAGGAGAGGAAGGAGAGGGAAGAGGAGGAGGAGGAGGGGAGAGGAGGAGGAGGAGGAGGAGGAGGAGAAGAAGGGGGAGGAGGAGGCGGAGGAGGAGGAAGAGGATGGAGGAGGAGGGGGAGGAGGAAGAGGAGGAGGAGGAGGTCACCGAGCGCGTTCCACTACTCGCGAAGTGCCCACACGCAAACGTTCGAAGATCACCTGTCTTCTTCGACGTGATGGATCGTAGGTCCCCCGCGGCGGATCCACGCCATTTGCAAGCAGGTAGTGGAGCGCGCCAGTTTCAGGGGAGTCACCAGCCCCCTCTCTCGAAGAAAAACAAGTACCATAAACAGGGAGGGGGGTCCAGCGCAGATCCAAGAAATCCGCGCGGACCGCCAACAGTTTATGTTTATGCTGCTTTGGGCGCACTCAGCGTGGAATTCTTCCACGTCTGAGTGCCCTCCTCCTCCTATCTTTCGCGGCCGCCCGTCTTTCTTGCTCCCCCATCTTGCACGTCGGCCACTTCGCGCATCGGTTGGCCCCGGATCGCTGCTCACTGTTGCAGTTCCTGCCTCGCTGCGGACGTAAAAAGTTTAGGCCGTTTTTTTCCCTCTGCGCCAGGAGGACCAGGATCCTTCGGGAAGGGGATATGAAAGTGGAACCCCTTCGTCTTTGACCCCGCGTTCGACTCCATCCCTCCCCCCAAATTCAAAGTTGGCGTCGGCCTCCCGGAGGCCCTGGGGGGTCCACCTTTTTTGTCCTCTCACGCCTGTGCTGCCGAATGCTTGAGGCCAACTTTGGAATCGGGGGGAGGAGGGGAGGCGGAGGCGGGGGCGGAGGCGGAGGAGGAGGCGGAGGAGGAGGCGGAGGAGGAGGCGGAGGAGGAGGCGGAGGAGGAGGCGGAGGAGGAGGAGGAGGAGGAGGAGGAGGCGGAGGCGGAGGCGGAGGCGGCGGCGGAGGCGGCGGCGGAGGCGGCGGAGGGGGGGGGCGCGGTGTCAAGGGTTCCACGTTGCTGTCCATCTGCTGTCCTGAGGTTCGAGGCTCCGAGATCGAAGTCCGTGGCCTCCGACTCCGTGCCGATGGGTGCAAGTCGGGCCCGTCCTTTTGCAGGAGGAATCTGCACACATAGTCAAAAACTGGTCAGGGGACGATGTTTCGACCATTCTTGAGTATTCCTGGGGTACTTTTTGATTGTTCGTCCAAAAACCCCCCTGTAGGGGGACACGCCCGACTCCGTGGCGATGCATCCCAGTCCGACGTGCTGCGGCTCGCCCTTGGCTGGCGGGCTCGAGGTGCGCTGATGCTGCCGCCCCTCGCGGGGAGGATCTAGTGTTAAGTCGGGCCTGTCCCTCCACAGGACGAACATTCCAAAATAGTCAAAAAATAGTCTGGGGACCATTTTTGGCTTGTTTTTGAGCATGTTTGGAGCATCTTTGGGGTATTTTTCATTTTTCGTCCAAAATCCCCCTCTAGGGGGGCAGGCCCGACCTACATCCAGTGGGAGCGGGAGCGTGGCCGCCCGCCAGCTCTTTCCCGTGAAGGCGAAGGCAAGGCATACCAAATATTCAGTCGGGCCTGTCCCTCTATAAGAGGAATATTCAAAAATTGTCAAGAAATAGTCAGAGGACGATTTTCCATCATTTCTGTTGTTTTTGGGGGATATCTTTATTTTTCTCCCAAAATCCGCCTGTAGGCGGACATGCCCGACCTGACTCTTTCCCCGCGAGGCGAAGGCAAGACATGCCGGAGATCGGGGGAGGGGGGGAACAGCCATCCCTCAGAGGAGGGAAAGGTGCCCCACACCTCTGCCCCTCCCTCGTCCTCCCCTCCTCGGGGACTCCTCTGGGCGGCCCTCGTCGCCGCCGCTGGATCCGCGCCGAGATCCTTCCTGGCCAGAGCGCACCCCGGGAGAGGCCCGGGGAGTAGGGGGCCGTCGGAGGAGGAGGAGGAGGAGGAGGAGGAGGACGAGGAGGAGGCGCAGGAGGACGAGGCGGAGGCGCAGGAGGAGGGGGAGTCCTGGTCGGTGCCGGTGGGCCTCCCCCGGCGCCCCCTCCGCGGGCGCCTCTCGGCGCGGTCCCGGGCGCCTGTCGCTCCGCAGGCGCGGCCCCGCCTCCGAGGCCACCCTCGGGCGCGGGGCGCCGCGGGGCCGCGCTCGGCGGAGCGACGCTGAGGAGGGGGGCCTCTTCCTCTTCCTCTTCCTTCTCCTCCTCCTCCTCCTCCTCGTCCTCCTCCTCCTCCCCTCCTCTTCCTCCTCCTCCTCCACCTCCTCCACCTCCTCCTCCTCTTCCTCGCTCGGGCCAGGTGCGTTCCTCCCCCGCCCCCTCCCGCCGGGAGGCCTGCGGGAGCGCCCTCCCTCGCCTCCCGTCTCTCCGCGGCGACGACGGGGCGAATGCGTGTGGTGCCCGCCCCCGGGCTGTGCGCCCCTTAGCGTCCCCGGGACCACGTCCACCGCCCGCTGAGGCACCAGGACGTCGGTTCCCGGGCGGTGGATCTGGATAAGTCCCCGCCTCGCACTCCCTTCTCTCAGCGGCGACGATAGGGGCGAATGGCCCAGGGGAGAGCAGTACATGTAATTATTCACGTTCTTCGAGAAGGCTCCCGGGCGAGTGCGTGCAGTGCCCGCCCCCGGGCTACTCGCCCTTGTCGTCGCCGCCGATTCTATCGTCCCTCCTCTGGCAGCGGCTTGACTGGCAGTGGCGCTGCAAGGCGGCCCAATACAGGCTGAGTCGGGCGTGTCCCTCTACAGGGGGAATATTCAAAAATAGTCAAAAGATAGTCTGGGAACTTTTTTTTGAATATTTCTGGGCATCTTTTGAGCATTTCTTACGTATTTTTTATTATTCGTCCAAATTCCCCCTGTAGGGGGACAGGCCCGACCTAACAAAAGAGCCCCTCCAGAGGCCCAGTCGGCGTCCCCTTGCGAAGTGCACAAGTGACTCGAATTTCCGGGTTCGAGGCAGACTCGCCCGGAAACCCGTGGCGAGCCCGGACAACCTAGCCTGCATTCTGACAGCCGGTGGGCGCCCCAGGCCAGCGGATGCATTTGAACAGCTGGCCCCACTAGCGGCCACTGTCGACTGGGTTCCGTTGGCTGGGTAGGCCCCCCCTAAGGGGCCAGCTGGCGTTCCTTTTCTGCGGTTATAAAAGGAGTGCGCCTCTTCCTTCCTCCTTCCACCTCTCCTGACCACTATGTGCCCTGAGCCCGTCTTACCCTCCCTGCTGCCGCGGAGCATGCGTACAAATGTGTACGGATCTCTTGAGCTTCCTGCTCGTCCCCCCTCTCTGCGATGCGCTCCTCGCGCCTCCGCCAGCCCACCGGCCGGCGGGGGCGTCCCTAGTGGGCGGACGAAGGGGGGGGGCCCGCCCCAAAGCTGCCGCTGTGCCGAGCGCAGCATTCGGCGATGCTTGCAAGGCGGAGGTCTAGCAGACTCTGCTATCGAGATCTTTCAGGATGCGCTTCTGGATCATCGGTTGGCTGTGCGAGGCGCAGCCGAGATTGCAGGGTGGAGGATCAGGGTTCAGCAAAGCCTCTCCTAGGGTATTTTAGGACGTGCTTCTGGGTATCTCAGGAGGGAAAGAAACACACAGACACAATTAATCGTCGATTCCCAGGAAAATATAGGAAACTATGGGAAGTAGGGGGGAAGACAGAAACCCAGATAATATGGGGAACATATGGGGAATATGGTTATGTGTGTCTATTTATTTGTGTGCCCCAGTTTCCCTTCAGTATCGTTTGTTGTCTGCCCTTGCGGTTACCACGCTGCTGCAGTCTTCTATGCCGTGCGCCCGACTATCTTGCCTGCCTGATCGGATCCGCTTCCGTCATGCTGCTGAAGATCCGCTGCTGCCCAATGCCTAGCCTAGCATTAAGTCGGGCGTTTCCCTCTACAAGGGGAATATTCAAAATAGTATGAAAATAGTCTGGGGACGATGTTTGGACTATTTTTGAGCAGTTGGGGGGTATTTTTGAGTATTTGTCATTTTTCGCCCAAAATCCTCCTGTAGGGGGACACGCCCGACTTAAGCCTGGCGCCGTCGCGCTTCCCGTCGCGGCCGTCGCGACTCCGTGCCGATGCAGCCTGGTCCGACGCATGCTCCAGTCCCAGACATGATCGCGTCGTAACAAAAATCTGGACGGGAGGTTTTTGGCAACTTTCGGCCCCTGGGGGGCCCTCGCCGGGCCTCGGGACCGTCAAAAAACGACTAGGACGAAAAACCGGTCACGGGGAAAGGGTCGGGACTTGCGGGAACGCCGTCCTGAAAAAATCTGGACGTCGCATGTTTGGGGTCTGATCCGATTCCGCGATTCGATGTGGGCTTCTCCTGCCATCTCCCGCCAGGAGGCCAGTGGGAGTGGGAGCTGCCGCCCGCGTCGCCCGCGCCCTCGGACCTCTCCGGCGGCTCGCGCTGGGTGCTCGGCTGCAGCACGCGAGGCGTTCCCGTCGTCGTCGTCGTCGTCGTCGTCGTCGTCGTCGTCGTCGTCGTCCGATGCTTCCATTTTCCTTGCTTCTTGATCTCACTGTGTCCTCTGAGCCTTCCCTGCTGCGTGGGCCTGCTCGCTGGGGCCCACATCGTGAGCGATCAGTCTGCCCCGGCTGCTCGCCAGGCCCTGCCCCTGGCGGAGATCGCACACGAACGGGCCGGGCCGCGGCCACGGCGGTCACGGAGCCGCTGGTCGCGGCCCGGGCTGCGGCGGCGACGGCGACAGCCGCGGCAGCAGCGACGGCGGCGGCGGCGGCGGCGAGCGCGGCAGCCGCGACCACCGCGGCGGCGTCGGCGGCGGCGGCGACGGCGGCGGCGGCGGCGGCGGCGGAGGCGGCGGCAGCGGCGGCGGCACGCCTCCGCGCGAGGCCCCTGCAGCTGGAGCCTCGGCGGGCTGCCTGCGGCCCTCTGGCCCCGGGCGGCGCTGCAGGCGCGCGCCCGCGGCGGCCTCAAGGGGGCCCTGGACGGTGGGGTGACGACGAGGACGTCGACGACGAGGACGACCACGGCGATGACGACGACGACGACGACGAGCCCCTGGCTAAGGATCGAGATGCTATGTTACAACAGAAAGTCAACCAGAGGCGAAGATGGTAAGGCCTGGGCAAGCACTACCCCTCGGTCGTTGAAAGTACGTATGTTTGGATGCCCAGAAAACAATATATCTCAAGCGCCTTCCTACTTTAAGCATCGATCTGCTTTTGCTGCGTTGTGCTAACCTCTGGGTGGGCCCGAACCCAATATACTCTATCCGCCTTCCTGCTTCATGTTTCTATCTACTTCTTCCGACCGATGGGTATGCCAAGCAGAGGCGAAGATGGTAAGGCCTGGGCAAGCACCCAGACCTCTGCATGAATTGCGCTGTGCTTTTTTTTTTTGTGTGTGTGTGTGTGCACGACGCGGCCGTCTCGGCCTCACTATACGTAAAAGCAGGCGTTATGTTGCTTGCTTTTTGCTTGTGCTAGGTCCTCCTCACCGCACCGCTTCGGGACCCCCACGGCACAGCCCATTCGCACCCCCCAGCGAGCGCGAGGCGGGCGGGCCGCGAGAGCGGCAATCCCAGATCTCGGACCCTAGATCCGTAAGGGCTTCGCCCCCTGCCGCCGGCTCCCTCTCTCGGAGAATGGGCCATGGAAGAGCGAGGTCATGAGGCTTTGGCTTCGCCGTGAAGCAGTGTCGGGACCTGTTTGTTTTGCGACCCTGACCCAACGGATCTGCGTGAGGGGTGCCGCCGGATTTCAGAAATGTGGCAAATCCCCTGTGTTTTTTGGACCCTGACCCTGCGGATCTGCATGAGGGGTGCCGCCGAATTTCAGAAATATGGCAAATCCCTTATGTTTTTTGGACCCTGACCCTGCCGATCTGCGTGAGGGGTGCCACCGAATTTCAGACATGTGACAAATCCGTTGTGTTTTTGGACTCTGACCCCGCCGATCTGCGTGAGGGGTGCCACCAGATTTCAGACATGTGGCAAATTCGTTGTGTTTTTGGGCCCTGACCCCGCCGATCTGCGTGAGGGGTGCCGCCGAATTTCAGAAATGTGGCACATCTTTTGTGTTTTTGGACCCTGACCCCGCCGATCTGCGTGAGCGGTGCCACCGAATTTCAGAAATGTGGCAAATCCCTTGTGTTTTTTCGACCCTGACCCCGCCGATCTGCGTGAGCGGTGCCACCGAATTTCGAAATATGGCAAATCCCTTGTGTTTTTTGGACCCTGACCCCGCCGATCTGTGTGATGGGGTGCCGCCGACTTTCAGAAATTTGGCAAATCCCTTATGTTTTTGGACCCAGACCCCAGCGATCTGCGTGAGGGGTGCTACCGAATTTCAGAAATTTGGCAAATCCCCTGTGTTTTTGGACCCTGACCCCGCCGATCTGCGTGAGGTGTGTAAATTTTTACCCACCCCAGCAATTCAGACAATACGATTTGGGCGTGGTGAAAATGCCCGTTTTGGACCTCCCCCCCTCGCGCGGTCCATCAACAGGGAACAGTGAGCAGCAAGAAGCAGAACTGCAACAAGGAACAGTAAGCAGCGAGGAGCAGAACTGTGACAGTGGAAACTGGAAGCTGCAACTGGTACATGAAACTGCGAACCTCCGATCTACAGCCTGGTGGCCCCACAAGGGGGCCGGCGGATTTAGGTCGGGCGTGTCCCTCTACAGGAGGAATATTCCAACATTGTCAAAAAATAGTATGGGGGCTTTTTTGTGTTCTTGAATATATTTGAGTATGTTTTGGGGTATTTTCAATCTTCCGTCCCAATTCGGCCTGTAGGGAGACAGGCCCGACCTAGCGCTAGTCCAGAAATCAAACTCACTAAGGTGGTATTGCTCGATTTCAGTTCAGTCTTCCTTTCGGTAGAACTTCCACACGGTGGCCGAGTATTCTGGCTCGGTTTCAGCCTTCGCAGACCCAGAAATGAGACTAATTCTGGTGTTCTGGCTCGATTTCAGCCGTCGCAGGTCCAGAAGTTAGGGCAGGGACAACGGATTCTCACCATTCCAGTTGTCCTAGGTCCAGAAAGTTTGGCAGGGCCATCGGCTTCTCATCATTCCAGCTAACAGGAGTAGGGTCGATAGGCCCCTCATGTTATGATGTTCCAACCTACTTTTGCCTTGATCGCCAGAAAGAACTTCGAGCACCACTTAAGTACCGAAACTGGAGGGTCTTTACGTGTCGGGTCCTGGGAGGCGATACTCGTTCGACGTTGTTTGGATATTTTCAGGTGCTCGGAATTAATTTTGGTATGTGGTCCTTAAGTACGATGGGAGCAGCATAACTCTAATGCTGTTCCAAGCGCGTTAATGTTACCATGTCGACATCACGCACGTCACCCTCATCATCATGTTCAATTCCGTAATTGCATCGGCAATCTGATGAGGTCGTTTTCGCAAGCCGACGTTTGTGGGGTCCGTCCGCATCCACACCTTACCTGCTACTAGGGTCCTAGTAGCGTTACGTTAGAGGGTTCTACCAGGTGTCAAAGATTCGGTCGCCAGAATCTCCACAGGGGAGGACGGGTGGAGGCGTCTTACCAGCTTGGCGGCGCGGCCCGGAATTTGCCGGCAGCGTTCACGAGTGCGTGCTGGTTTGATTTGGCCCAGCAGTGCGACAATCAAGTGTGCGTTGGCTCGATTTGGTCGAAACGAGGTTCGCTATGGTATTCTGGTTCGATTAGCTCCATAATTGCGCCTCGCTGTTGCGTTCTAGCTCATGTCTTTTCGCCAAAATCGCCGCTATGGAGGCAGGGCAGAGGCATGACACCGGTCCGGCGGCTGTCTGGAATAGATACTTATGGAGGTACTATCCAGATCGGCTTGCCCTCTTGGAGTTTTCATCCATTCTCTACTAATTGGTCCGTTGCCCCTCACAAATTCCAATGCCCTCCCCCTAGCTCCTATGGCTATGCCTATGCCTATGCCACTGCCTCCCCCTAACTCCTATGCCTACGCCTTTGCCTATGCGTGCCTGCTTGCTTGCTTGCTTGCGCGCTTGCTTGCTTGCTTGCTCGCTTGCTTGCGCGCTTGCGCGCTTGCACGTTTACTTGCTTGCTGAGTTGCGGATTCCAAGCATGCTTGGTTCCCCTGATTCCTTGATTTGAGTCGTCTAATCTACTTGGAGTCAACGCTGGCTGATATGATTCGGTTTTTCGCTCTCGCACATCCGGACATGAAATTAATTCTGGTGTTCTGGCTCGACCTGGTCCAGAGATGACGCTGCCTCGCGCACCCTTCCCCCTCTTCCCCCGCTCTTGCTCCATTTGGTTCATTCCGAGTCCTCTGGTGTTTCTTTTGCGTTGTGCGTCGCACTTCCCCCATCCATCAGTTGCGCCATTTGCTCGCGCTACTGCTCCGCGTCCTTATGCGTCTTTCTCCTTCATGGTTCCTCCGCGGCCTTCCTTCCGTTCATTTCCTTTTCCTTTTCCTCCGAGCCGCTCCCTGCCCTGGTTACCCCCTTTGGTTTTCCCCTTGTCCCCCCGCCGGTTTCCTGACAAACCGCGCTATTAGCGCCCGCCGCTCTCCTTTTTAAGCATTCTTTTCCGTGAAATGTTACTACTTGGGGGTGCCAGGTCGATTCGGGCCAAATCGGGGGTGTTGTGTCTTCGCGCACGCTTGGTGATGACTGGCGCCTTTGCCCTCCCCCATACGCACGGCGCCCGCGCAAGGGGAGGGGAGACGCCCCTGGCGCGCGTGAGGGTGCCATGTCGCTCGCCTCCGCGCGCGCCGGTGCCCGCGTGGCCGTGTTGCGCGCGCGCTAGGTGCATCGAAACCGTCGCCGTCCGCTTTTGCTTTACGGGGTGCGTGTCGCGCAAACTCGTTCGCTGGTGGCGCGTTGTGTGGTGCCCCCGTAATCTGCAACACCCATGCGGTCGTGGTGCGCGCAAGCGGGCTGTTCCGAACTGGTCGTCTTCGTCGCCCTCGTTGCCGTCGTCTTCGTTGTCGTTGTTTTCTTTTTCGCGGCCGCGCAGAACAAATGTAACCAGGGCCCCCATGGCGCTTCGTCGCGCAATGCCGCAGTCGGTTCACATGTTTTAGATTTGAAGAGGAACCCGCATCCACACGCAGGTTTGGGGGATGGCGTTTCAGCCCGAGGTAGTTTCGATATTATTGCACTTGGCGAGTGCATGGGACCCTCGCGATGCGATTGGAATGCTGGGTTGCGCGGCGGCCTCTTTGTGCCCACTAGGTGGTATGTTGGACCACAGGGGGCGCGCGAACTTGATTCAAGTGCGCTTCCTGTCTCGTGTCCTCTAGTCTTGCCCTGCGTTGCTGCGCAAACCAAAATTCGCGCACGGGCTCGCCTAGTGCAGGTTGGTCCTTGCGTGGTTCAAGTTTCGTCTCGTCTCAGTGCCACCGTCGCTCGTCGCAGGGGGGCGCGATTGCCTTGTGGGAAGAATGTGCATCCACCGCGTGTCAGCACAAGGCGACGCCAAGTCCAAACTCCGATGAACATAGCAACCACGCGCCATTCGTGTATAATTCCGCAGGTCTCTTGGCTGTTTTTTGTTTTGCTTGCGGTTTTTTGGGGGCCTCTTGGAGGTTTCTTGGTGGTTTTTGGTGGCCTCTAGGGTGCCTCTTTGTGGCCAGTTGCGGCTTCTTGGGGGCGCTTTGGGGCGCCATTTGGCCGTCTGGCCGTTTCGCAGGCCGTCTTGTTTTTTTTCGGAGCCACCTTTGGGGGCCGTCTTGGGTTTCTGGTTTCCCCTTGCAGCGTTTCGCTAGAGGGTTGGTCCTACAAGAGGGCGAATCTATCCCTTCCACCAAAATCTCAACAGGGGGGGGAGATGACTCACGCTGCCGGATGCGCTACCGCGGATGAGGTTTGCTTACTATTGTGTTCTGGCTCGATTTCAGCCATAGCATATCCAGAAGTTAAATTATGGTGTTTTGGCTGGATTTTGTCTAGAAGTGAGGCCCACTGCGGTGTTCTGGCTCGACCTCAGCCCTCCCAGACCCAGCAATCGATTCGCCATGGTGTTTTGGTTCGATTTGGCTCGGAAGCGAGACTCCCCATTACGTTCTGGCGCGATGCCATGTCATTGGTTTTGTTCAACCGAATCGTCACAGGGGGCCCAGGGGAGGCGCTTCACCAGTCCGGCGGCGGTCCGACGTCGATTTCTTCTGGCGGCTTGGCTCGGTTGCAGTCTTCGCAGATCCAGAAATGGCGTTCTGCTCGGTCTGGTTTAGACATGATGAGGCTCCCTGTGGCGTTTTGGCTCGATTTCTTCAGCCCTCTCAGATTCAAAAGTGAGGTCGCTATCGCTACGGTGTTTTGGCCCGGCATGGCTTAGAGATGGGAATCACTAGTGTGGTGTGGCTTGATATCAGTTCGAAGAGTTCTCTCGCCTGAATCTCCACGGGGGGAGCCGAATACTTTGGCTTGATTCCAGCCCTCGCAGCTCCAGAGATCGTGTTCCTTCTTGTGCTCTGGCCCGACATCAGCCGCCGCAGGTCCAGAACCTGTGGCAGGGGCATCGGACTCTCACCATTCCAGCTGTCCCGTTCTGGCTCCCGCGCTTCGCGCGGGCAGCCGAGCCATTGACTCGAACTGGACCCTCAGGTCGGCACTCGTGCCTTCCTGAGGGCACATCGGTCTGTGCCCCCTCGCAGATCCAGACATGAGACTCTCGGCACTCTGGCTCGGCCCCGCCCGTCGCAGCTCCCGAGGGTGCTGCAGGGGCAGTCCACCGTTCCGGCTGCCCTGGGTCCAGGAGCGTGTGGCAGGCCCATCGTGTGTCGCCGCTCCCGCTGCCACTGGCCAGAAGGCGCGTCAGGGGCATCGGATTCTCACCGTTCCAGCTGTCCTGGGTCCAGGAAGTCCGGCACGGGCAGCGGGTTCTTACCATTCCAGCCGTCCTCCTGCCAGATATTGTGGCAGGGGCATGAGATTCTCACGGTTCCAGTTGTCCTAGGTGCGTTCCGCGTGCTGAAGGTACGGTGACTGGTACAGCTGCGTGTGCGTACATGCGTATGTAATCTTGGCGATGTATGCAACCATATGCAGCGGCGAATGCCGCAAAACGGATGACCCGAAGGAAGTCGGCGAGCAAATTACGTGCGGCGTGGGATACGGCCCTCGCCTTCCAGGCAGCGCGCCCCCAAATGGATGTAATTCGAGCTACGCGGGCCCTGCCACTGGGATCTTCGGTGAAACTCCCGATGGGGCCGCGAAGCGAGTGAGGGGTGTGCCGAAGTTGCAGCGGAGACGCACCCGGACTCTACCATTGGGTCCTTTGGTGGAGCTCCTCATAGGGCCACGAAACATATGAGGGATATGCCCAAATGGACCCGAGTCCGCATGCGGGCCCTTCCGTTGGGGCCTTCGCTGGAGCTCACTCTGGGGCCACTAACCGTGTTGCGGTTCGCCGAAGTTGACAGAAAGAGTTATTGGATTGGAAATGTCGCTACCGTCGGAGGTCTAGGTCGTCGTGAGGTTGCGGGGCGCTGTCTCTTCAAAGCGATGGCCCCAAACCACAGGATGGTTGGGAAAAGGTGCAATCGTTGCCGTCGTCGCCGTCGCCGTCGCCGTCGCCGTTGCCGTCGTCGTCGTCGTCGTCGTCGTCGTTGTCGTCGTTGTCGTCGTCGTCCTGGTGGTCCTTTCTTTCCGTGGTCGTGATCATGGCCGTGGTCGTCGTGGTCGTCGTGGTCGTCGTGGTCGTCGTCGTCGTCGTCGTCGTCGTCGTCGTCGTCGTCGTCAGGACGGCGGCGGCGGCGGCGTCGGCGTCGGCGTTGGCGTCGGCGATGGCGTCGGCGACTTCGCCGACGACCGCGGCTGGCGTCGACGGCGGCTGGCAGCCGCGCGCAGCGTGGAGCCCCCGCGCGCGGGAGGCGCCGTTGGAGGCCCGCGGCGAGCGGCTCGTGCTGGTCCGCGTGGTCTCGCGGCTGTTGCCGCAGGCCACGGCCGCGCGGCGCCCGCCCGCAGCGCCGGCCGTGCCCACCCTCGCCCCAATCCTTCCTCCTCCTGCTATTCCTCCTCCCTCCTCCTACACTGGTGGATTCCTCGAGGTTCGCTCGCTCGCTCGCTCGCTCGCTCCTCCTCCTCCTCCTCCTCCTCCCTCCTCCTCCTCCTCCTCCTCCTCCTCCCCTCCTGCCCATGCTCACTTTCTCTACTCCGTAGCCTTTCGGCTCAATCCTGGCCACTTCCATCTCATGAGCGCACTGTTTTCTCAATGGGTCAACACTGTCGAGGATGTCATTTATGCTTATTATCAGGTCGTGCCATCTGAGGGCCCTCGACGGGGCACTGGATGTTTTTTCGTGGAAGAGTCAGTCAAGCAGAGCTCGCGATCTAGAGCTGCTCCGCTGAGAGATCAAGTTGCATTTTGGTGGAAACGTGTTGCATTTATCCTCTCACAGTTCGAGCGGCATCGTGGGCGAGATAATGGTCGTTATCAATTGGGTCAGTTGCAGCAAGCAGCCAGGCACCGTGCTACCGAGAAGCCCGATGGAGTTGATAAGATTCTGTTGAGCCAAAAGGATGTGGGGATTCAAGTCTGGACGGGTTTGCTCCTGTACTTAGCTGACACGCGTAATATGGTGATTTTTATTTTTCAACAACAGGCGGACAAGCTCTCTAAACGCGCCCTGCGACGGGCGGTGCGAGAGTCCTTGTGGGAATTTCGGTCTTGGATTACTTCTCAGGAGGCCTTGGGAACGCTGCACAGGAGTATGGGAGAAGAATCACCTCCAGCTGAGGAGGTTTGGTGTGGCAGTACTGTTCTGGTGCACCCCAAGGATATCTTAGATCGCAAGTGCAAGGTATGGAAGGAGCTCTGGACTTCTGCAGGTCGACGTGCAGGCACTACGTGGAGGTGTTCTACGGAAGCGTCAGAGCCGAGCTATCGACGTGGAGGTTCTGCGCCATGCTTTGCCGAGGCGTCAGAGCTGAGCGGTGGGCGCTCCTCGAACCCAACCGTCTCTCAAGTCGCCAAGGTTTTGTCGGGGGCCTTCCAGGCCACGTCATGTTTTGCTGGGGCGTCAGAGCCGAGCGCTGGGTGCTCCTCGAGCCCATGCGTCTCGCATGGCGCTAACGTTTTGCTGGAGGCCTGTCAGGTCATACCATGTTCTGCTGGGGCGTCAGAGCCGAGCGTTGGGTGCTCCTCGAGCCCATGCGTCTCTCACGCTGCCAAGGTTTTGCCGGATGCTTCATGTGCTGCGTCGGCTGGGTTAGAACGCATTGGTTTCGTTGGCGCTTCTCAGGATGAACGACTTGCCGATGCTTTTGCTGCCATCAAGGAGGCGGCACGTGACGAGCCCATGGAGCCCATCACCGCTGATCAAGTGCGTAGTACGGTTCACCGCATGCGTACCAGGGCAGGACTAGGTGCTGATCGTCTTTCTCCGCTCGATGTGGAACGGCTACCGCAGGCAGGTCTTGAGGAGCTTGCGGAGCTGTTGAACGTAGAGAGGTTTTTTTGCGGGGAAGGTCTTGGGCAAGGCATGGATGTAGTATCTCTGCAGCGGCTTCTGAAGCACCTGGAGCAGTCCCCCCGCGGGCGCAGGCTTTCTGAGTTGTTATCGACGGTAGTTGCTGGAGGGTCGTGGCCGAGGCTCCGTCGAGCTGAGGCTTCCGCTAAGGTCCAAGTTTGTGTGCTATGCCCTCGCTGCAAAAGACGTAAAGAGTCAGCTTTCCACCGGATATGGGAATGCGATCACAACGTCAATCACCCTATCTATACCAAGTCGGACGAGGTGTACCTGCAAGCGGCATCTCAACATGAGTCAGCCCCAGCGTACTGGCTCCGTGGAACTATGCCAGCACAGTGGACTGCAGTACCCGAGCCGCCTGATGAGGAGGTTTGGTCCCAGACGGGGCTCAAAGAGAGTGTGGCTGATGGAGTCCTAGTTCCAGGTGAATGTGCCAGGCCAGTGCTGCTCTTTGGCGACGCTAGTAGAGGGGCTGATTCATCCGATGGGAGGTTCAGACGTATCAGACGTATCAGTCTCGGTCTCGCACATTTGGAAAGTGAAACGGACCCTCAGCTGCAAGTCTCCATCTTTGGAGCTCTCTCAGGCGTTGTCCAGACGGTGGCCAGGGGTGAGCTGTATATCTTCTGGGTAGCCCTGCGGGTGATGGAACAATATGTAGCGTATGTAACAGACAACCAGATGGTGCATGAAGGTTGGTGGCCTCAGAAATACCGTCATCCAACTGGAGAGCACGCTGAGTCGTGGGCGAAGATAGGGTTGCTGTTTCGTAACACGGGACGGCGATCCGAGCATGTGACAGTATTATTCACGAACTCGCACCTGGAGGCCGAGGATGTCGTGCAGCGAGATGGATCTTCTTGGATGGCGGTGGACAATGCAGCAGCGGACACGTTGGCAGGTGAAGGTGCGACCATCGCCCGCATACCTGAAGCTGTTTGCGCAGCCATTCTGGAAAAGGAGCGGGTGTTGCACCTCATCCGCGCGAGGATTCTCAGGTCCCACCTCGACGCCATGGAGGCCGAGAAGACGACGCAGCAGGCCCCGCTGCACGGTCGGCACCAGAAGCGAGGAGCTCGGGGACGGAGGGGAGTGGGGGAGATCGGCGAGCCTGCCGCTGCTGCCCCTGTCGACCCTCCGCCCCCCCCCCCCCCCCCCGCCTCCGAGTCAGAATATTCTGTCGGCCTTTGAGACGAGCCATGATCTATCGGAGTGTGGTAGGCGTTGTCCGAGGCGCCGCGGGCCCGCGTCTGCTGCGCGAGTCTCGGTCTGGTGTAAGTCTCCGTGTTTCAGGTTAGTTGCCATTGATTGCTCCCTTCGTGCACTTCCTGAGGGGGCCACCATTCACCTCGCTGGGGGGTTTGTGGGTCCCTACCATTTTTTTGAGGTTTCATGCCGTTTTAAAGCTGTGGTTTTGCGCGTGTTGTGGGATGCATGGGGACCTGCAGCTTTGCGGCCTCGGGAAGGCTAGTGTCCCCCGCCCCGCCGCGACGAAGTGTGAATACCTTCATTTGATTATGTTGGGGCAATGACCCAAAGTTTACAGTAGAGCGGAATTAGCTCGTAAAGCCCTGAAGAGGTGTAGGTGATGAGTGGAAGGACTAAGTCCAGGGACTCCAACTCCTCCCCTCCTCCTCCTCCGCCCCTCCTCCTCCTCCTGATCCCCCTCCTCCTCCTCCTCCTCCTCCTCCGCCCTCTCCTCCTCCTCCTCCACCTCCTCCTCCTCCTCCTCCTCCTCCTCCGCCTCCGCTCCGCCTCCGCCTCCGCCACCTCCTCCTCCCCCCCTCCTCCTCCTCCTCCTCCTCCTCCTCCTCCGCCTAGCTCTGTGAACGTGATTGTTTGTCCAGAGCGCTCGGCCGCTGGCTGCGCGGCATGCAGAGAGAGCATGTCCGATGCGTGCTTGGCCCAAGCCTTTCAGATAGCGGCGGTCGCATGCTTCAGCAGTTCGCCGCCCATTCAGGCCATGGCGCGGCTGTGGAGGTCGCGGCCGAATGGGCTCGGCGAGTCGGCGGGCTGGCGTTCGAGGCAGGCCAGCTGGCGGCGGCAGCGGAGCAGCTGGGCGGGACGCGCGTGCTCCTGCTCGTCGTCTTCGCCGTGGAAATGCTGGCCGGCTGCTGCTGCTGCACGGCCTGTGCGCTGGCGGGGAGCATCGTCTGGCATGGCGCTAGCCTTTCGCGCCAGCACGAGGGTGCTGGTGCAGCGGCGCTCGCAGGATGACTTCCAAAGTCGTCTGCTCCTGCGCCCGTCCGACGCCGTCGAGTTCGAGCACGAGCTCGGGGTGGCACCGACGAGTCCGACGAGTACGATTTGCACGGCAGCGACACCAGACGAGGACATCTACCCGCACGAGCTGGAGGAGCCGCCGCCCCACGCGATCGCCCCGTGCGATCGGACGGGCCAGCCTCTCTGGCGCGAGAGAGTCGGCGGGGGCGGCCGCCGAATAGCGCGCCCGTGCTACGGCGCCGACTCCTGCAACGTGAAGTCGGGGCCGGAGGCGGAGGAGGCGGCGCTGGCGATGCTGCGCGAGGGACCGAGCCCAGTGGGTGGGACAGCGACTCCTTCTGATGAGCTGGTGCGCGGCTCGGGGCGCCTAGTGGCGAGTGACAACCGACGCTGGCTGATCACCGCCAGCGACGACGACAGCGACGTGAATGTGGTGGCCGACTTCGACAGCTGCGAGTGGCATGCCGCGTGCGACTCTCTCGCGATTGTGAAGGCGGCCGGGAAGTACTACCTGGTGAAGGCGGTGACGGAGAAGCAGGCCGAGAGCTCGATGGACGCGCGCGCGATGCCGATCCTGCGCGGGTTCGACGGCGAGAGGAGGCGCGTCTTCAAGGACGCGGCGCGGGGGATGTTGGAGACGGCCTGGGCGGGGTGGCCTGTGATGGGGTCTCGCACCGCGCTGTGGTGCGTCCGCTTCCTGGAGCAGGACTCGCACCCGCGCGCTTGCCACTCCAAGTGGCGCGCGGAGTGCGGCCTCGGCCCGGCCGACGTCGGCGTCTCGGACCACGAGCTGGCGATGCGCGCGCTGGAGCTGGGGGCTGGTTTCGACCAGCTCAACTTGACCGAACTGTCGCTGGTGGAGCTCCTGGTGCGCCAGGCGCAGCCGGCGGAGTCCTCGGAGTGGAGGCGCCGCGAGCGGCTGCTGAAGAGCAGCGGCGACGAGTGCCTGGAGGACGAGTACCTGTACATGGGAACCTCGGAGACGAGGGGGCCCCTGATGGTGCGCCCGACGCTCGTCGAGCTCATCCAGGCCGAGCTGCGCAAGAAGGCGACGCTGATGAAGGAGAAGCGAGAGCTCCGAGAGGAGAGGATGCTGCCCCGCGGGCAGGGCGGCGGCGGCGGCTGCGGCGGCGGCGGGAACAAGGCGCTGCACGACAAGGCGGCGGCGCAGGCCGCGGAGACCAGCAAGCTCCAGGCGAAGCTGAAGGGCTCCAGTCGGGCGACCAGAATGCCGGCGGGGGCGGAGGCAAGCAGCCCGTGGTGGTCGCCCGGGAGCTGCTGTCCTGCCCAGTGCCCCACTTTGGCCGCGATTTGGCCAGTCGGGGTTGCCGGGCGGTGCGCTTGCGTGCGCGGCAGCAGCAGCCCGCGACGCAGTGGCTCTCAGAGGCTTTGCGCGCCGCGAATTCGCTGCGCAGACATGGAGCGCCGCGACAAGATCTCCAGGCATCGCGCGCCCAGCTCGCGGGCAGCGACCGCGTCCGCGAGATCATTCAGGAGGCCGGGCCTCCACCTGTTTCAGGAGCGGCAGCCCGCGCCGAGCTGTGCTCTCACTTGCCGGGATTGCAGCAGACACCGTGCGCCGCGCCTCCTACTCCAAGGGGCTGGTTTCCCTGCCGGCCGCGGGCGGGCAGTGCGTCGGCGCTGATTGCTTGGCAGGTCGCGCCCGTGAGTTGTGGGCAGGATGGCAGAAGCGTCTTCTTCGCGAAGAAGGGCCGCCCGATGGTCCGCGTCTTCGTCCTTTCTCCGATCCGAGATTAGTGCATTGCAAGAAGACCTACGCCCGATTTGTCGGCGAGCTGCTGAGGCGTGGCCTGATCGACCTCAGCGAGCGGACCGAGAGCACGGTGGGCATCTTCTTCTGTTTCAAGAGCGACAAGCGGTCCATGCGCATGATCGCGGACACGCGGGTGGCGAACAGGCGTTTCCGACTTCCAGCAAATTCGGAGCTTCCGACGGCAGGGGCTTGGAGCAGCCTGACCGTGCCGGAGGGCAAGTCCTTCCACTTGTCCCAGATGGACGTGGACGACGCGTTCTACAGGATCGCCGCCCCACTGGGGCTGCGGGACCATTTCGCGCTGCCCGTCGTTGACCTCGACGAGCTCCGGGCGGAGAGGCCCGACCTGGCCGGGCAGCTGCCTGCCTGGCGGAAGGCGTCTCCTCGGCTGGCGGCCCTCGCCATGGGCTGGAGCTGGGGCCTCTTCTTCTGCCGGCAAATGGTGGAGACGCAGGTGCTTCGGAGCGGCCTGGCGTGGGAGCGGCTGGCGCGTGACCGGCACCCCACGCCGGCCCTCGAGGAGGGGCCCGCGGCCGCCGTCTACGTCGATGGGGCCGCCGTGGTCGGGCTCGACTACGCCGAGACCCTGGAGACGGGCCAGCGGGCGCGCGACTCGCTGGACGCGGTGGGCCTGACGTGCAAGGGGCTCGGGGCCCAGCGCGGAGGCGACATTCACCGGCCTGGCGTTCGACGAGGCGAAGGGCCGCGTTGGGCTGAGCCGCCGGCGCGCGTGGCCCATTCGGTTGAGTCTGCTGCACGTCGCCGACCGCGGCTCGGCCACCGGCGACGAGATGCGGGTGCTCCTCGGCCACTTCACGTGGGGCGCCCTGGCGCGGCGGGAGCTGCTGTCGATCTTCTCGGCGGCCCACCGGTTCGCGACCTGGGCTGGCGGGCGGCGGCGTCGCCAGTGGAGCGCCGCGGAGGCGGAGCTCCGCATCGCCGCTGCGCTCATCGTGTTCGGCCACGTGGACTGCCGCCGCCGCCCAGACCCCGCGGCGCTGGCCACCGACGCCTGCGGAGCCACGGACAACGACGCGGGCGGGTTCGACGTGGAGAGTCGCGCTTGGGACCCGCGCGACGTTGCTCGGGCCTGCGCCCAGGCGGAGCGGTGGCGCTACCGCGTCGCCGAGGCGGTCACAGCCCGGGCGCACGCCCATGGGTTCTTGGAGTGCCCGCCTGCCATCTCTCCCTCGTGTGCTGGGAAAAGTTTGAGCGCCCCCTTGGGTTCGCCGCTCGCGCGGACTCCGCCACCTTCCTCGGACTTTGACCGGGCCTTCGGGGACATGTACTCGGGGACCGTCTCGTTCGAGCAGATCACATCAGAGCACGTCGGCAGTCTCGAGTCGCGGCAGCTCCAGGTCAAGGGCATGATCAGCCGAGCCGAGAACATCATCCGTCTCGAGGGGCACGGGGTCGTGATCGGCGTTCGACGCCATCTTCGGCCGTCTCGCGCCGGGGGCGCAAGCTGCTCGTGCTGTGCGACAACCTGGGCCTCGTCTTGGCCCTGGGGAAGGGCCGGGCGGCCGTTCCCCGCGTGAACAAAACCTGCCGCCTGGCCGCCGCGTTAAGCATCTTCGGAGACTTGTCGGCGACCGTCCGGTGGACCCCCTCGGAGCTCAACCCTGCCGATCGGCCGTCCCGCATGGCTGGCGCTTCGGCTCGAGATCTACCCTCTGCCCGGCGGCGCGGCCCGTCTGCGCGCTGAAGCGGAGGCCGGCGGCGACGCCCTTGCCGATCGCGCCGCTCGCGGGGATCTCGCGGCCTGCCGGCTTCAGAGGCCAGCAGCAGTTCGAGTTCCGACGCCGGCTCTGAGGGCGGCGATGACTCCACGCCTGACTGGTCATCGCCCGCCGGCCCCAGCACCTCTTGCGGGGGCGGGGCGGCGGCTGGTCCGGGTGGCACTGCCGGCGCTGGGCGAGCGGCCGACAGCGCCGCAGGCGAGGGTAGTCGAGAGGATCGGGCGCCGGGCTGCTCGCCGCCGCTCGACGGCGGCGCCTGCGCCGCTGGCGCGGCTGCCAGGCGGCAGCTGGTCGCTCGGGCACCTGGAGAGCAGGCGCGTGACCGAGAGGAGCCGCGACACGCTCTGCCGCGAGGTCGGGGCGTTCACAGCGCGGTGCCGAGCGCAGCGCAGGGGCGTGAGCTCCCGGGCGGCGCTCGACGACACGCTCGTGGAGTACCTGGGCTGCCTCTACTTCGACGGCTACAACCACGAGAGGGGCGACAAGCTGCTGTCGGGGCTGGCGTTCGAGGAGCCGAAGTTCAGGCGCGGCGGGGAGGAGGACCTGGCGCGGGCCCGCGCTGCCCTCCAGGGCTTCCGCCGCCTGGCGCCTGGGCAGGCGAGGATGCCGCCGCCCCGGCCCGAGTTCGCCGCGCTGCTGGGGGCGGGGATCGCGGCGCTGGGCCTGGACTTCGGACTCAGCCTGGCGATGGTGTGGGGCGGGGGGCTGCGGCTGCCGAGCGACGTCAGGAGCCTCCAGGGGCGGTCGCTCGCCCCTCCACCCCCGCACTCAGGGGTCAAGAACTGGGGCCTGTTGCTGTGCCCAGCCGAGGCCGAGGCGAGGGGCAAGACGGGGCACAAGGACGAGGGGCTGCTGCTCGACGGCGTCTTCACGGCGGGCATCGAGGCGCAGCTCTGGCGGCTGAAGAGGGCAGCGGGCGAGACCGGCTGCCTGTGGAGCTTCGCCGCCGCGGAGTTCAGGGCGGGCTTCAAGCGGGCGGCTGCAATGATAGGGCGGCCGCCCCCCCATCCGCACCAAGTGCGGCACGGTGCAGCCAACGACGACGCGCTGTACCGCAGGCGGACCCTCGCCGAGTTCCAGGAGCGCCTCAGGCACTCCCACCCGAAGAGCACTCTGAGGTGCAAGAAGCACGCCCGGCACCTCGCCGAGCTCGGCAAGGCGCCGCCGCGCGTGAGGGCGCGCGGCGAGGCGGTGGAGGCGCATGCCGCGGCCGTCTTGAACGGGCGCCTGGCGCTGCTGCCCCCGCCCGACCAGGCCGCGGCGACGCGCTGGAGGCCGGCCGCCTGCGGCGCCTGGGCGACGCGCTCGTGCAGGGCAGGCAGTTGGCTGCCGGCGTGGCGCGGGCTGGGCTGAGCGACGCCCTACGCCGTGAGCTAGGCAGTGCTGCAGCGTGCTATCTCGATTTTTTTTGTAGGCTCGGGCGGTGTCGCCCGTGCGCACCGAAGGCTCCATCGCATCAGTCTCGAGATGGATCTTCGGCAGTCCGAGTTCTTTGATCTGGCACCCAAAGTGGTTGGCCAGACTATCGTGGGCTGGACCTCCAGCCGCCTCGTCCAGGCGACGCGTAATTATTACAGGAACCCTAGCAATATTTATGGCCACGCGCGCCTTGAAGGCAAGGCGCTAGAGCGCCTCCTGGTAGGGAACGCGACGTTGGCCGTCGCCCAGATGATAATCCGCGCTTGCTTCCATAATGGGGTGCCCATCATATGCGAGAATCCACTCAGCAGCTATGCGTGGCAGGAGCCTGTCATGCGCAATTTGTCGCAGGGCCCTCGCTGTCGTGATGCTGTGTTCGACGTGTGCCAATTCGGGACCGCCTGGAGAAAACCCACGCGCCTCCGAGCGTGGAGCTGTGTGCTGCCTCCTCCGTCCCTGTGCGCGCGCTGCAAGAGTGCGCGCGGCGTCTGTTCTGTGACCAACCAGCCCCGCCGCGTGCTGCAGGGCCCCGGACCACATAGTGTGAGGTGGAGCCGCATCGCAGAAGAGTTTCCCAGCAAACTGCGTAGCCAGATTGCGCGCTGGTTAGCGCAGAGTGTTGACAACATCAGAGAGCTCCGAATTCGTCGCCTCGCGGATTGCTGAAGCATGCGGCCTCCAGGGCACAGAATGGGAACGGGCGGAGCGTGGCCCCGGGTCGCTTGCAAGCTGGAAGCCGCTCTCGAGAACAAACCTAGCCTCTGGCCTTGAGAAAGAAGGACCGGCATGTCTAGCTCTGTGAACGCGATTGCCTGTTCAGAGCGCTCGGCCGCTGCACGGCATCGCTGCACGGCATGGAGAGAGCATGTCCGATGCCGTGCTTGGCCCAAGCCTTTCACTTCCCTTTCCCCTCCTGCCTCCCTTCTTTCTTTGGTCTTATTGCACATCCATTTTCTACAGTTGAGAGGGCGGAGCGTGGCTCCGGGTCGCTTGCAAGCTGGAAGCCGCTTTCGAGAACAAGCCCAGCTTTTGGCCTTGAGAAAGAAGGACCGGCACTCCTCCTCCTCCTCCTCCTCCTTTTCCTCCTCCTGCCTCCTCCTCCTCCTCTCTCCTCCCTCCTCCTCCTCCTCTTCCTCCTCTCTCCTCCTCCTCCTCCTCCTCCTCCTCCTCCTCCTCCTCCTCCTCCTCCTCCTCCTCCTCCTCCTCCTCCTCCTCCTCCTCCTCGTCAGACCGAGTCGGGCGTCCTCCTCCTCTGCCGGGGGCTTCCCCTTCTCTCGCCACTCGCAGAAGTAGACTCGAGGCGGCTGGGCACAGTGTCAAGCTTGTGAATTCCAGATATAAATGCATTGTCTGTGGCCGCGTTTTTGAGGCCGTGAGGGGAAAGGTTTCCGAGTTCTTCCCTGGTCGGTGTGTGGGGGCGCGACAGATAACGTGCGGGTCGGAGCGTGAGGCCGCGATCTCGCACCCTGGGGCTCCCCGTGCGCACTCGTCCCACGACCTCGCGGTGCTGCGTGGTGTCCTGTTTTGCCGAGTCTGCGGGAGGTTCATGGTACAGAACTCCCAGCTCCTCGGGGAGGAGTGCCCACCAAGTCGCACTCCGACGAAGGCAGGCGCCAGCGTGCTGTCTCGCCTTAGGCGAGGCCTTCCGCTGAAGAGCGGTATGAGTTTCCCAGATCCCTGACGTGTACAGTGGGATCACTGACGGGTTGCTGTGAATGTGTGGTGTGAAGCATGCGCCCTGGCCAGACCAGGTCCCCGCCGAGCGCCCAGCCCAGCCCTCCTCCTCCTCCTCCTCCTCCTCCTCTTTTTCCTTTTCCTCTTCCTTCTCCTCCTCCTCCTCCTTTTCCTCCTCCTTCTCCTCCTCCTCCTGCCCCTCCCCTGAGTTTCTGAGTTCGGTTTGTGCAGAAGCATGCGTTGCTGGAGTGCCCAGTGGTTGGACACGACCGCTCGCTGATGTTCTGTACCACCTGCTGCAAGTACTCGGATACAGGCAGCCTCAACCATCGGGGGTTTGACAGCGTTTGCTGCGGCAGAGAAGGTGGCAGCGGCAGGATTGTTGAGAACACGAGGCACTTCAGCAACTAGACATCCACAGTCGCTGCATACAAATATCTCGCTTGAGGACGCTCGGAGACCTCCCGCCAGAGCCCGAGCCCTGGTGTGCAAGTCAAAAGGTTGGCGTGACCCGCTGGGTGACTTGCCTGAGGTTGACCTTAGGCCCACAGGTAAAGTCCGAGCCGAACCCCAGCGTTATCTGGACACCAGCTTGATTTTGAAAGACCATGGTCTCTTATACCCTGAAGCTTTGGAGTTGGGTGCTCCACACGAGTCAGACAGTGATGATGATGTGGACCCCGACATGGTATGACGGGTCGGCGAGGATGCCGACAAATTCCAGGAGTTGGTGTGTCAGCCCACAGTGGGGGAGTGCTCCACATGGGCGACTTGCAGTACTGAATGAGGGCTGGATGTGGTGCTTGATCCTCGCAGGCCTCATCAACTCGTTCGCTATTTTCTTGCCAGGGCTCGGTTCGGTTTGGCCATGCCCAGGCACTACACTAACTCGTCGCGGCGTTGGGCGACGTCCGTCCGAGGGCCTTGGGTTGCAGCGCTGGCTCTTGGACCCTCCAAGCGGCGGGCGCGCCGAGGGGCGACGTCCGTCCGAGGGCCTTGGGTTGCAGCATGGCTGGCTCTTGGACCCTCCATGCGGCGGGCGCGCCCAGCCTGTTTTGCCGTGCGGCTCGAGCGTGGAGATGGATGTCTGCGCCACGCTCGTTTTCCACGTGCTCTTCTGGGACGTGGGCCTCGAACTGCACCACTTGTGCGCGGGCTCCCCGCTCGTGGCGCTGGGAGCCCTGTGGGAGCTCTTCCCCGCCGCGGCGGGCTTCGTGCAGGTGAGCAAGGGCCTGCCGCAGGCCCCGTGCACCCTGGCCGCCCGCGCCTGTCGCGGGGTAGGCATGCTTCTCGCTCCCCTCCCTGGTGCTTGCAAGGTGGTCCTGGCCTTCGGGCTCCACCGTGTAGGTGCTGGGGAGGGGGGTTGAGGGGTGTGCCTGCCTCCTCTCTGCTCGGATCCAACTGCCCCTTGGTTTCTGCTCGCTCGCTCGCTCCCCTGAGTTCGGATCCGCCGTACTCTTTGCCGCATTATCAGATTTGAGTTTTGTGTCGGCAGATGCATGGGAAACGTATGGCAGAGACAGCGACGGCAAAAGAGCCTGGAAAGGGGAGCGTGAATTTCCGCCATTTCGAAATCGCCCTCCGTGCCCTGATCGCCCGTCCCCAGCGCCCGCCGTGCCGAGATCTACGACGATATCTGTCACATCGGGCGTTTTCTCTCCGTGTCGGGCCCTTGGATCACAGATCGACCCCGCTCGCAAAGTACTGCCAAAAGATGGGGTCAGGGGCTCCCGTCGTGATCTTTTCGCGATGATGCATCTTGTGTTGCAATGTCGGATCTCAGGGTGGTTTCTGTCCGCTGCGCGTCGCCGAGAGCACCAGGATCGTTCCGAGCGGCCGCCAGAGGCCCGAAGCCAGAGGGGACCCAGATCTCCGACGAGATACAGTTTGTTCAATCCATGGGCCAGTGCTACCCCTCGAACCTTCGACCGGCGGCGCGCACCCTCCTCCTCCTCCTCCTCCTCCTGCTCCTCCTCCTCTTCCTCCTAATCTTGCTCCTGCTCCTGCTCCTCCTGCTCCTGCTCCTCCTGCTCCTGCTCCTCCTCCTCCTCCTTCTCGGTTTCGGCCCTCGTGGGCCGCTTTCGGGCCCCATGGATTTGCATGTGGGATAAAGATGTGCAATATCGCGAAAATCACGGCTGGAGCCCCGGACGCCGTCGTCCTGCGGCATGTTTCGAGCCGGATCGGCCTCGTCGACTTTCCGACGAAATTGTTGATGGAATTCATGGGCCAGTTTTAAGTCGGCCATGTCCTTTACAGGAACAATATACAAAAACAGTAGAAAGATAGCCTGGGGATGATTTCTGTTGACTATGTTTGACTATTTTGGGGCATTTGTTCTACATTTCCCCACCTAGTCTCGGCCTAGAAAGGTTCTTACTCGGTGTGCTTAAAGGGCCGGGCAGTGGGGCCCGCCTCGGGCGGTTCCCCCAGGATCCGCCCCGCGGTTCCCCCAGCTACGTCCCTTTAGCTTAGCGTTGCTTCTCTCATCTTAGCTTAGCTTATTTCATCTTAGCTTAGCTTAGGTTCACCTTAGCTCAACTTTATCTTAGCTAGCTTACATTCATCTTAGCTTCGCTGAGCTTTAGCATAGCAGAGCACAGCATAGCATAGCAGGGTAGCATAGCATAGCGCAGCATCGCATATCATAGCCTGGGTGTAATTCCCTACCTAGGCTCTGCTTAGAGGGTTAGCTTAGCTTGGCTTAGCTTAGCATAGCGCAGCGCTGCATTAGCATAACATAACATAGCCAGTCATAGCATAGCATAGCGCAGCATAGCATAGCATAGCACAGCATAGCATCGCATAGCGCAGCTTAGCATAGCATAGCTAAGCTTAAAGGGCCGGGCAGTGGGGCTCGCTCAGGGCGGTTCCCCCGGCATCCGCCCCGCGGTTCCCCCAGTAACGTTCCCTTGGCTTCGCGTTGCTTATCTCATCTTAGCTTAGTTGGACTCCTCCTGTAGAGGGAGACGCCCGACTTAAACGGAGGGACTCGGCTCGGAAGCCCGTGGAGACCAGGGCAAGCCAGGGCACGCTTCGGGGAACAAACAACGACACAGTAAACATGACAACTCGGAGGTCCGCGCGGACCTCCGAGTTGCCCTGTTTGTTCCCTACCTAGGCTCTGCCTAGAAGGGTTCTGACTTTATAAGCTTGAACGGCCAGGCAGTGTTCCACGCCCCGGGCGGTTCCCCCAGGATCCGCCCCGCGGTTCCCCCAGTGAAATTCCTTTAGCTTAGCGTTGCTTATCTCATCTTAGCTTAGCTTAGTTAATCTTAGCTTAGCTTAGCTTCATATTAGCTCTGTTTTATCTTAGCTTATATTACCTTCATCTTGGCTTCGCCGAGCTTTAGCATAGCAGAGCACAGCATAGCATAACAGAGCGTAGCGCAGCTCAGCATAGCATAGCATAACTTAGCATAGCACAACGCAGCATGGCATAGCATAGCTTAGCATAGCATAGCATAGCATAGCGCAGCATAGCGCAGCATAGCATAGCATAGCATAGCATAGCATAGCATGGCGCAGCATAGCATGGCATGGCATAGCATAGCATAGCATAGCATCGCAACTAATGCTGCTTTCCTAGGGGGTCCAACTTCTAGGTAGGGTCGCACTGGGGTAATTATGTGTTTCTTTCGAAATCCTCCTGCGGGTGGACACGCCCGACCTAAGGTCGGGCGAAGAGATTTATGCACATGCACCGATCCTGGCAAAGCCCATCCTTGACCCATGGTCGGTGCATATGCCTTCCTGGCCAAGGTAGGAGGGCGTATGCACCGATCCTGGGCTCAGGATGGGCCTGGCCAGAATCGGTGTATGTGCATAGTTCTTTCTCCTCTATAAGGTCGGTGTTATCCCTCGGTTTCCAGCCCTCGGGGGCCGCTTTTGCGGCCCAGTGGCCCTCAGAAATGGGCTCCTCCTCCTCCTCCTCCTCCTCCTCCTCCTCCTCCTCCCCGCCTCGTCCCGGGCTGCCTGCTCCGTCCTCGCTGCTCTTGCTCCCTTCCGTCCCGCCTCCCCGCCCTCCCCTGCCTCTGCCTCCTCGGCCACGCCCGCCTCCCCGTGCTCACCTTCCCCTCCCCCGCCTCCCCATCCTCCTCTGCCTCGCCCCCATCCTCGAAACAGCAGCCCGCGCCTCCTCCTCCAGCTCGTGCATGGCGCCAGGTCGGCGTGGCTGCCCGGGAGGGAACATGAGGCGAGGGGGGCCACGGGGTGGGGACGACACCGGGCGGGTGAGAAGAGGTCTTGAGCAACGGCAGCGCTGATCCTCTATATTATGTTTCAGTCGGGCGTGTCCCTCTACAGGAGGAACATTCAAAGATAGTAAAAAATAGTCAGGGAACTATGTTTGAATCTGTTTGGGGTATTGTTGATTTGTCGTCCAAAATCCGCCTGTAGGGGAACTGTGTTTGCCTCTTCTCGCCTCCCTTCTCCCCTTCCCTTCTCCCCCCATCGCTCTTCCCTCCCCCCGCCAGCCCTCTTCGCCCCTTCCTCCTCCGTGCACCCTCTCTACTTCTCCTTCGTCGGCCCAGGGGCACCCGAGAGGTCCCCCCCTCACCTTGGAGGGTTTCTCCGAAAGGCGTAGGCGACCCGTCCTTCTCCTTCTCCTCCTCCTCCTCCTCCTCCTCTCCCTCCTCCATCTCCTCCTCCCCCTCCTCCTCCATCTCCTCCTCCCCCTCCTCCACCTCCTCCTCCTCCTCCTCCTCCTCCTCCTCCTCGGGTCGCCTACGGCCCCGGGGGAAACCGTGCACCTCACCCCTCCTCCATTTCCTTCGTCTCCCGCTCCCAGCATCCAACCCCCCGAGGAGCGCTGGCTGAGCGCCAACCTAGACGCACCGCTGGCAAATCTCTACCAGGAGCCCGCAGCTACGCGCCCGCCTCCCTCTCTTTCCCTCTCTCTCTCTCTTTTTCTCTCTTTCGCTCTCTCTCTCTCTCTTTCTTCCCTCTCTCTCTTCATCGTTCTCTTGTCTGTTTGTTGAGTTGTGCTTGTTGTTTGCGTGTGTTTTGTGATTGTTGTTTTGTTGTTATCTCTCTCTCTCTCTCCTTCTCTCCTCCTTTTCCTTCTCTCGCGAGAAACAGTGGCAGCTGGACGAGCAGGGCGGAGTCTTGCAATATATTGGGAGGAGGCGGGGGGCTCCAGAGACGCTTCCCAGGCCTCCGGAGACGCCTGGGGACCTGCAGGGGCCTTCGGGCGAGGAGGGAAAGGAAGGAGGGGCAGGATCGCGCCCCACCGAGAACAGGGTCAGCAGTGGGCCCACGAGGGCAG